GGGAGGAGCTCAGCAAGCCCAGGGACCCGCTGGCTCTGACAGTTCTGACCCCAATGAAATGCCAAGAGCAGCAAAAGCAGATTTGGGGCTGCTCACTGTGTGGCCTTTGGGGCAGCAGCAATTGCAAGGACTGCCCAAGGAGCTACCAGGGCACTGCCCATGGTCCAAACTGCACCTACACTTTCAATAAGTGACAGGGGTGCAGGGGGACCATATACCTTGTGAAATCCAAGGGGAGAGAGTGACTTTAATGAAGTCCACAGGTGCTGCACCTTAAGGAAGCTGATCTTTACTTGTGCCTATCCAAAAGTCCAAAACAACTTAGCAAATAAAAGGAAAAAAAAAGGGTAATATTCCTGTGACTCACTACAAGCAAGAGACGTCTGTACTAAAATTCAGCACATTCAGAAGAGCTGTTGTGCACATCTGCAGCCAACCCAGATCCCTCTGACAGCCCTGGGGCCATCCCCATAACTGTGCACATCAGCAGGCAGACATCACAAACTAAATTGTCATCTCATCTTGCAGTGATCCTCTGCCTCTTCTCCCAAGGGCCAGAGTCATCCTTCACACACACAGGCAAGTTGTATTAATATCAACAGCTTATACAAGCTTTTTCATTATCAATAACCTATATGGATACATATCAACAGCTTCAGGTATCTTCTCTTACAATATTACCTTTCTTCTTCACTTTTCCCCTTTTGGGACAGAAAATTATATCAACCAATGATGCGTTAAATCAAAACATTTAAAGGAGGCTTATTCTTTAAATTCCAGGATTGCCTTGATAAATATCATGAAAATTTAGAAGAAATATTTTAATTGATTCAATAGACTCTCTGGTAAATCAGCCTACAGGGTTTCAGAGGCAGAAAGTTTTGTCTTGTTTCACACACAGATCTGGAAAAGCTGGAACACCCATTTAAATCTTTCTAACTAAGTTAACCATAAAATGGAAGAACACTTATTTTTAAATACTCTGAACTGTTTCAAAAGACCTCTGGTGCCAATTCAACAGTTTGCTGCCAAACTCCTAAGGTCATGCATGAGGCATCTGTTAACAGAGTGACACTGATGTGGAGTGTCAAGGGGTTTTTATTTCTTCTTAAAATAAAAAGCAGTAGGAACTACTTTTGAGTTATTATTAAAGGACTCCCAATTCTGGTATAATACCAAACCACAGTGTTACAAGACAAGACAAAACAGGTCTGTGTAACATGGCAGAAAAAACTGGTTTTGTGTTTAAGCACTAAACAATGGAAAAAATTTCAGCTACAACTCCAGAACAAATAAAAAACAAAGGAGAGAAGAGACAGCAAGAGAGATAGAAAGAAGGAAATAAATTCAAAGAATGGAGCCCCAGGAGAGCAGGCAATGCACAAAAGTAAACAAAAAAATCAGAGATGAGAATGGCAATAAGACACTGACAGGGATTTATTCTCTTCTGTATTCTTTGGACATATTCTGATGAAAAAGATGTAGATCAAAGTTTCTCCTCTCTTCTTTCTCTAAGCATCTAGAACATTGCTCTGGATGTTACCAGATCTGCACTAGAGAGCTCTGAGATGCTTTATCCACAAGAAAGCACATTTACCAACTGCTCTGAGAAGAGGACTAAGAAAGTGAAGTGGTCTTGCCTCCACAGAAATTCTTCTTAAGAATCCAGATCAATTTACATTCTAGCAGCTACCAACAATATGGGGGAGGGCTACACCCTGACAAAGTTAGTCCAAGTTACCTCTGCTGCTTAGAAAATATTTGTTATTCAGAAGTCACAGAGTAGTAACACCTGATGTGAAAAACTGTATTTTATGTCTCAGAAGTGCTTGTAACTTTCAAGCACTTCTGTCCTCATTTTGCTGCCAATGAGGAGACTATTATTGTGCAAGAGCTGTGCATGATAATCCAGTAGTGCCACTGCCCACAATAAAAGCCAATGATGGAGAAACACATGATACTCACTTACTGAAGAGTCATCCAAAATAACTGGACACACAAAAAGCCTAACAGTAAAAGTCAAGCAGTCAAATCCAACAAAATCACTTCTACCACTCCACAGCATCCACAAAAAATGAGATTATGACTGGCATGTTTAATTTAACTGAAAATGTATGGTAAAGGACACCTGAGGGGAAAAGACTGCTGGATTTCAGCAACAAGCAGTAAAAGGCACGGCACCGTGATCAGGTCTGTGGTTGGTGTGGGGTCACACCTGCCAACAAGCACACCTCTCAGACCAAAAGCACGAGCTGTGCTACTCACTGCCCTGCAAAGGGCACACATGCACAGAGGCAATTAACTCCCCTAACTGCCAGCACTAATTCAATCTCACAAAAATACGGTATGCTTCCGGGGTCTAGTTTTCCGTAGAGAAGAAATGATTTTCAATACTCATCAGCCTGAGACACATGCCAGCTGGAGGAAGAACTGTAACCTGCCAGTCACAAGGCACTGGTCAAGTTGAATCTCTTCAGAAATCACAAAAACCTAATGCTGTCGCCTCCCAAACAAAGCACCCTCCAGACTAGTGCCATCAGCTGCTCTTCTGTTAAATAATGAGGATATTTGCAGTTTGTTTAGGAGCATATTCTTCTCCCATCTCCACAAAGATTTTCTGCTTAATTCCCAGTGTCTAGGAACTGTTCTAATTCTTGCAAGATTATAAATGACAGCAAGCTGCCGCTGGGAGCACAACCTGGATGCAAGCTATTACCAAGTGATCCTCAGTGATTTGATTACTTTAATAAGCCTTCTACCACTATCACCCATTTTAGACCAATGTCTTTGCCACTATCCTCGGTATCAGCAGCTTCCATCCTCCCTCACCCCTCAACAAAAAAAAAAAAAACCAAACCATCTGCCCGCTAAATCAAGGACATAAACCATGAGCAGCTTCGCAAGTGGAAACCAGTCATGCACCTAAAGCTCATTTTTTAGAGAAAATTAGGTGATTAATCTTTCTAGTCTATTCTGTTCTTCACCCGGCCCAACTATTTCATCCTGTCTGGTTGTGCAACAGCATTTAAAACACACAGCGCTACCTCAGGCGCGGTTCAGGTCAATCATTACACAGCGCAAATGTCACCGTTACCTCTACTGCTCAGTAGCGGGCATTGAGAGCCAGACACAACCTCTGACATTTACACGTTTTCAGGACATTTTCACTCAAACAGGTGGAACGACAGAAATAAACAGCGATGTCTGAAACGGGCCGTCCTCACTACAGATAAAACCCGGCG